ATCCAATGAAATGTTATGCCAAAAAACTACATATTTGAGGTATGAGAGTACTAGTATCTACCGTTTAAAAGTTATGGCCAAAGTAAAAATTTGGCATTTTTGTGTAAAATGGGACTACAAGGTAAAGGTCAAAAGGTCAAATTTGGTGGTACCCAAAGTAAGGTCTTGTCACAAGGAATACACATATTAAATATGAAAGTCATAGCTCCAATAAATGAAAAGTTATGGTCAAGGTTAAGGTTTTTGCGGACAAACAAACCGCCAGATAGACAGACGGACATACAGATGAACACAATAAAACTATATACCCCCGAATCTTCGATTACAAGGACATAAAAAGAAATGGTCTTCAATTAACTTTTCATATTATGATACATTATAAAGAAGGCGTTACAACAATGAAAATGTTTGTTCTTATTTTCATATTAAATTCTCCGAAAAAAATACTCAGAACTGAGTAAAAGGGTGGAGTAAAACAAGAATTAAGGTAGAGCCTATGTCAGAAAAGTCTCTGTCACAAGATTTTCAAACTTTTCAAAATGATAAATTAGTACTTGCTTATCAATCAGTTAAGATATCATAATATGTTTCCTTGTTGTTTTTTTTTTTATCTAGAACAGGCTGTGAAACTTGGTATGGTATTTACATACTTCACATTTTCAAATATTTTTAGGGGTATTTGTCATAAAGTGAATATGAAAAATCACAAAAATACTACTTCAAACATCGTCGTTTATAAAATTTATTAACTGAATAATATTAAACAATATTTTATCAAGAATAATTTCTTTTTTATTCAATTAACATAAAAGATAAGCCCACCATTAAAAAAAATAGTCAAATGAACTCTATCATTTGTAGTCAATTATGCACCCTATATTTGTAAATATTTTTTAGAAGTCTTTGTCACAATGTTTTCAATCTTCAATATGATGAAGAACATAGCCAAATGATTACAAAAAGTGATTAAAATATATACCTTTCCCCTCTAGCTAATGAAAGATAGGCTATTTACCGATACTCATATTCTTGACCTTTTTGCACTTACACAGGATTTAATAATTAAATGACTGTTTGGGGTTACTTTCAGATTAAATATTTATCAGAAATTGTACTTTTTCTTTAAAAAGATCATATTTAATAGAAAAATTGTAATCAAAGACCAAGAATATGAATAGGTAACAAATAATTGTTAAAAGGAAAGCACGTCATTTCATTATAGATATCACAAAAATGTACACACGATCAAACGATCTACAACACGTACATCTTTAACTTAGACACATTTCATCAAGATATTCCACTATATATATAGCTGGCAACTAAAGATTTCTTACGATTTATGCATTCCTTCAAAATGGTTACATACCATTCAAATTATTACGAAAGTTATATGTACATTGTAATTTCATTACACTAGATAGTCTTGGGTTTGTCAACTTCAGGTCTAGATCTAGTAAATAAAAGGTGCCTACATATTTTCTCTTATTCCAGAAATATATTGCCATTAAGCATTATAAACCAAAAAAATATATGAATTGAATTAAGATTATGTTGGCATGATTGAATTCTGTGAATTTCAAAATGCAGTATTCTCTACCATTTCTATTGAAGCTGTTTAGTACGGGAAAAGGTGGCATTGAATTAATTATGAGTCTTAATGGGTTAGCACAGGTTTAACACATTTACCAGTTATGATGTCATACAAAGTAGGTTCTACGTTAAGAGAAATGTAATGAATACTGTGTGCTAAATCAAAAGTTTATGTCTACATGTATACTTTTTGAATTAGAATGACTGTGTATTTTACACTAGCCCATAGCTTTACAAAGCATATTTTTAGGTCTTATACTTACCCCACCCCTTTCTTATTTAGGAGGAAGTCGATATTGAAAAAAAGCAAAAAAAAAAAAAAAAAAAAACCACCTACCTTTATTTTTCTATAAGAAGGAATTAAAAATAAGCTTAAAATAATCTACCATTCTCCTAAGTTTGAACTGTTACTTTGCCACAATACTTTCAAGTATACCTCCACCAACATTTAAAGTATACTTTAATCATGGCGAAGTAAATTATGATATGATAGTACTTGTGTGAAGGCTTAACTTCATTTCAATATTTTTTCTAGAGCCTCTTTCAGAATTATTGAAAGGTGTAGAGTTTTATTTATATTTTTGCTTTTCATTTATTATTATTCTTTTTTGTTTTGATTAAACGTAATGTTCCTTTTTTTTGGGGGGGGGGGGGGGGGGGGGATAAAAATTTCCTCCTCTTTCATTGTCAAATAGGATTTGCCAAAAATTAAACAAACTAAAAGTTGAAATGACGGAAAATTTAATTTGTCCTATTAAAGAGTATTTAAACCTTATTTTTGCATAATTTGATTTTTAAAAACAAGTGGAATATCATTCTTTAAGCAAACATTATAAGGAGGAATATTAAAAAGAAATTTTATTTACTTGACAATTAAAGAATCTGTTTTCAAAAACAATTTTAGCATTGAAAGACTACATGAATCTCTTAATTATTTCATACGACTTTTTGTATTTTTCTGGTTACAGAAAATGTAAAAAATTAATTTCGCTGTAAAAAAGATATCAAAGAGTGTATATTTTGTATCACTTTAAGGGGGGTCATTTTTCAATGGGGGTCATTATTTTATAGGACTAACATATAAAATAATGACCCCCCTAGGACCCTTTTTCTAAAAAAAAAAATGATTTTTTCTACGGGTGGGGGTCATTTTTTGTCGTTGAAAAATGACCCCCCGGTCATTATTCGTCTTTACACCGCCATATGTAATAGTAGGGGGTGTGTTATATTTTTATGCCCCCGTAAACGAAGTTTCTGGGGTATATAGTTTTTGTTTTGTCCGTTTGTCTGTCTGTCTCTCTGTCTCTCTGTTTGTCTGTTTTGACCTTTTGGCCTTGAACTTGGAGTTTGACCCACTTTTACATGAAAATTTAAAACTTTTACTTTGGCCATATCTTTTGAACGATAGATACCAGGACATTTATACATATATATGTATGCGTACTGGTGAAAAAAACTTTAACCTTGGCCATTACGTTTGAACAGTAAAGGATAGGGTTTTCATACTTCATATATGTAATCCTTGTGAGAAGACCCTTCATTGGATACCAAGAACTTTGACCCTTTGACCTTGAACTTTGGGTTTGACCTACATTAAAAGAGCAAACCTAGACCATGACTTTTAAAGGGTAAGGGATAGTGCTTTGTGGTAACGCACTTTGAAAAATTTTTCACTTTGAAAATTTTTTTCAAAGTGCGTAAAAATTGGGACAAAATCAACGCACTTTGAAAAAATTTTCAAATAACGTTAAATTTGGGACATAATCAACTCACTTTGAAAAATAATTTCAAAGTGCGTTAAGAGTATACATTAGTATATTTTGCCATGGAGACACTTAACGCATTTTGAAAAAAAATACGTTAAACAAAAATTCTGGATTTAGATTTTAGTAATTGAAAGATTCTATTTCAGTGTTATTTATATTTCAAAAAAACTTATGTTATTTACTCTCGTCGAGAAGAGGAGATGATGAGTAGAAGGTTTTTCAGCCTAACTCACACAGATGTCGGTAACAACTCAACCTACCCAAACAATTGATATGTATCTACATTACTGGTATGACGTTGAACACTTTCAATAATTAAATTAACTTAAAGCAGATGAAAACTCTAAATTTTTAAGTACAGTAAAACGTATGAGAGAGAAAGAAATTTCAGAATCTTAAAAAATCAAATTACCCTTTTTTCTTATGATAAATTGCTATGCTTTAAGTCGTTCACATTTAGCCCCCCCCCCCCTTCTTACGTCTACTTATTACAGACTAGAACATTTTCCTTTAAAAAGAAACGAAATAATGATACTAAACAATCATCTCTCTATTTTTTTCTAAAAGACCCATTTCCCTTTTATAATATTTATCAAAACCTAAAATATTTGAAACGTCGGCATCGCAGGTTTGAAGTGACCTTGTCATCAAAAAGTTATCCAAACAGGGTGAATTATTTATCAAACCGATTATTAGTAAGAGTATTGATCAAGCTCTACTTCTTTTTTCAAAGTGTGTTAATATGGTCGATATTAACGCACTTTGAAAAGAAATTAAATTTTTTTCAAAGTGCGTTACCTTGGTCCCAACTTTAACGCACTTTGAAAAAAGTGCGTAATTTTTGAAAGTGCGTTGTAAGAGTGCTTTTAGACTTAACATATTTAGTTCTTGTGACAAGACCTTTCATTTGATAACAAGAACTTTTACCCTTTGACCTTCACCTTGGACTTTGACTTACTTTTAAATTATTTTACTTTGGCCATAACTTCTGAACGATTAGGGCTAGGGCTGCCAAACTCTACATAGGTATTCTTTGTGACAAGACCTTTCATTGGATACCAATGACCTTGACCTTTTGACCTTGACCTTGGAGATTTTTGTATTTAATAAAACCTAAACATTGACCTACTTTCAATTTGCACAATTGTTTTCCAGTGAGAATACCCTACTTTTGGTACCAATTAATTGAAGTTCCATTTAAGAAAAGTTTAATCTTTGCTATGTTGCCAGACGGAGGCATCATTGTTTCACAAACACATCTTTTTTTTTTTACATGTGCTGAAAATATATCTAGTCCTTTGGTCCCTGTCTGTTGTTTCGTGTAGATATTCATTTTTTAAATTGTATTATTTGGGGGGGGGGGGGGGGGGGGGGTCATGATTGTGTTCATCACCACAAGTATTATTATTACAGTTACCTGTTAATGAATACCCACACTTTTTGCTTATATGTTTTATTATTCATTCCTATACACGTGTTCTAATTTCGCGTGCTTTGATAAAAAAAAACGAGTTAAATCTCCTTGGCAAGGTTATACAAACTAAGGAACATAAAATGTAATATTTGTAGCATATAAACTTTATTGATACCCAATATTTCCATCACAAACATTTAGATGCACAATATAGTAAGAAAACATACCACAATTTCCAATGTTTTCATGAATGCTTCTGTAATAAGAACAAATCTTCTGTCCAGTTCTTTACATTACAAAAATATTTAAATAACTGGGACATTTTCTTTTCCTAAAATAATGATTAATTTAAATCAAATTAAATTTTGTAACAATGTTTAAAATTAAAAGATACTTACACTTAAATCAAGTATGCAGACAGCAACATCAGCACCATATAAAAAGCTTGAAATATATATACCAAATTCATTATTATAGAAAACTGTAAATCTAATATTCCATATCAATCACATTCATTAATGCATAATTATATATAAAAAACAAGATTTTAAATAGCCATATATATTTCGAAAAAATGTTTTATTGATTTAATTTTAATTATACTCTCAAACAATTATCAAAGCCTCCTTAGGCAATTTAAAGCAACTTATAAAACATTCGGTTTGTATTTTAAGTTGGAAAACATGTTCCTGTTAGATTTTTAAAGGAACACTTAAGTGTTTATACAGCTGTAATAATAGTTCAAGGACTATGTATCCTCCATAATATGAAATAATAAGGGGATACAAAAAGTTTTATTTACATTTAGAAAATTTGAGTGCAATTTAACAAGTGTAAACAAGTGTAATGATTGAATTCAGAAAAACAAAATAATGAGGCACAAGTTTTGTTTTACAGGAAGATTTCATAGTTTTGTCCTGAGCACTACATCTGGGATAAAAACAAAGCAATTGTAGGTGTCAGAGGATTCGGTATTTAGAAATCACTTTTTTGCATAATCAACGTTTTAATAGTTTAGCAGGTGTTATTTCACAATCGGACTAGTTAAACTTTTTTCCAGAATGTAACCCTTGTTTTTCTGGACTGCAGATATCCCAATTTTGGATCAGATTGTCAAGGATTATGCAATTGTGAAGAACGCTTTTGCAGTGTATCATTTGGATGCGGTGACAAAGATTTTTCAACCTTCCCTGTTAAGCCTACCAACCCTTTATTTCATTGTTCCATTAGTGATGTTTCTATGTTTAAATATTTGTTAGTGATTTTTTGTCAAAATATCATGCATCTTTAATGTAAACCTTGATCAAAGTCGATTCCTGAAAAAATGTGAAGGTTTTCAAAGAAAATTTAATTGTTAGGAAATTAACAATATATTCTGTGGATAAAAAAAAAACCAAAACACCACAAGCTCAATTTTAATGAAAGTATTTATCAGATTAGATTTGGAAACTCATCCAAGTAAAATTTGTCTTCAGTTCAATCAATAGGAAAATGGGATATATATTTTATTTTATCTATTTTTAATTTTAAGATTATCCAATTCTCGTTCAGGACGGATAAATTTTTGATTTGTTAATTTTTTCAAAAAGTCTCTAAGTGAAACTGATTTCCTTTCCTTCAACAATCTTCATTTTATGCATCCTAGTGTGATAAAATGTTTTTTGGAGTCTTAGAAACAGTCTTATAAATATTGATATTTTTACCCCATAAAAGTATTTATCAATTTGAAAATTGTATTAACATTTTTAAAAAATCTAGCTCTCTTTAATCTAGGTTTAGATACCTACCCCCAATGATCATAAACAGGGAGTAGACTTAAGTCAAATTTCAAATCACTGATAAATGTGAAAAAAAAAGATATTGAAACTAAATTTGAAGGATTTATTGGAATTTGATAATATACGTTACCACAAAATTTTAAGAACATATATCAAATAAAACTAAAGTTATTCAGAATCAAAATTTTGACTGAAGTCTATTCTCAGCTTATGGTCTTGGGACCTGTTCATTGGCATTGTACGAAATACTTAATAAGAAATAATTTGAGATGTACGCTCTACAATGAAGGAAACCCTTTATATACCATGCAATATAAAAGAATTGAATGCATAGAAGAAATAAAGTATCGTTTTAGTATAAATACCATGCAATATTCAAAATGTATAGATACCTTTAGTTTTTTACCTTAAAATATTTTTCGTCATTAATTTTCAAGCAAAAACTACATGGTGGGTGTCTCATGTACATTTTCTGAAAATACATTTTAGCTTTAGTCATTTTCTACATAATTTTTACATATATTACTTACAAATATTTTTAATATTTACATTAATGTATTTAACTTGTGAAATTTGTTAAATCAAGTATTTTTTTAGAAGAATACTTTGGATAAGTACTATTAAAACATTTTTGTGACGTCAAAATTTGTTAAGCCTGGTTTAATAAATTTGTTATTGTTCTGCACCCGTCCAATACGTTACCTGTAGGTGTCCAATAAGATTGAACTTATTGGACAGGTACAGGTAACATTCAAATGAGAACAAAGAGCTAGGCAAATAAATATAAAGTACTTGAAAGGCAATTACAAATCAAACAATTTAATATGAACAATGTAGCCAATAAGTAGTATAAAAAGTCAATATTTTACAAAAATCCTATTGGAAATTGCACAAATAAACCACAGTGTATTGAATGTTTCGCATTCATTAGTGTAGATTCATTTGTGGCTCCGATCGTGAAGAACGAGTGCACTTATTAGCAACGGTATAATGTTAAAAAATAATCAAATTAAGAAATTTTTTTTATCCCAAATCAGTAGTTGATATCTAAACCGTACCATTCAAATAATTGTACCGCTAAAATTCATGAATAAACAAAGAACAAAACCATAGAATGTGGCAGGGGTCAATCGACATTCTTGATTTTCTACAGTAAATCGAGAACGGCCATACACTGAATTGACTACGGATTTTTTCCAATCTTCAAATCTTGAATACTGTTCGTTATCTACATATGTTTCATTCATCAGTTAAAGAGACATGTCGACCTCTGAATTGAATTATACTCCAAGGAAATAAATTACATAGATTTTAAACCATGATCATCCATTATATTTCTCCAAAATTGGAGTGAATGTCGCAGCCTGCCATAAACAAATTTGAAATTGAAAAATCCGAGAGCATCCTCTTAATGCTCTTGAAAAATAACTTTACCGTTACCATGATACAACTGTACAAACACATATTTCCTGAAAATTACTTGCACTTTAAATTATTCAAGCATTTCAAATAAAGCGTTATTCTAAACAAAATTGAAGAAAACAAACAGCAATCATTCTCAAAACTCCAACAAAGAAATATAAATTGTGGCGAGGGCCAACAAAGATTATTAAACCCATAGGTGCAAAGACAGATTAACATTGCAGCCATATAGAAACATCTTAAGTATTTCAAAATGGTATTGAAAGTATTTTTACATACACACTAGTATTTGAAGTCAATATGAAATGAAAATATCAATGTTTCATTGCCAACACCTAGGAAGTGCTTATTGTGTCTGTCGGTCTCCGAATCTGTGACCCTTACAGCATCTAGATGAGACATCGAGTCACCAGGAATGGGTTGTGGTAGTTCATATCTATGGTATCGAATTGAAACTGATTTACTATCCCGTTGACGAATGGGCCGTCTACAAAGTATTCTCAATCTGAAGGTAAAGGCTTGGAAAATGACAAGCAATGTCAATAGAAGGAAAATGATTCCGAGGAGGATATTGGATAAATGCGTATGTGTCACCATGTTGTCAAGATCTTTTTCTACAAAAATGAAAACAAAATAAAATGTTCGTATAAAATTTATAATTTCCTTTTAGTAAGAGTGAATTTGAGTTTTCAACTTTTCAAAAATATTTCGTCTATAATTGTCAGAGAAACATTTAATATAAAAAAAAATGATTAATTGTAAAATCAAAATGCTACTGAAAAAGGCAATTACGCTTTGTATCAATAATAATATTTATAATACTAATAATAATACTTTATTCAGAGAAGGTGGCCTGATAAGTGTGACACACTTTTCTTCCTCAGGGCCTTCTAATCACAACAACAATATTACAACAAATTAGCAAAGATATACGAGGGTCATTCAAAAAGTTCGTAGACTTTTGTCATAATTTTTTTTATTTAACGTCATATTATAACCAAAGTAAGTACACATATTTTAATAATAAATTGAAATTATATGAGCGAAAAATTGGAAAATATCTTGATAACTAGAGCCAAGCTCGTTGCAAAGCAACGAGTAGGTCTTCCGTCCTGTTTGACCGGAAGTAACTTTCATTTGAAAAAAAAGAGTAACGAAGTCGAAAAATGGTTTTATCCTCCAAATCTATGTTCATTTTTGCAAAATCAAGCCATTTTTGGCAACTTCCGGTTTGACCGGAAGTATTGTCAACGGACGGAAAATTAAGATTTAAGCTTCCAGTGACATATGATATCCAAAAACCTGTCAAGAACAACAAAAATATGCAATTTTTGACTACTTCCGGTTTGACCGGAAGTGACATCCCCGGACATATTATGACAACCTCATTAGATAAAGCTTGACATTTTGAACAACTTTACTTATTTGACGTATTATAAATTCTCAATACTTTTTGAGATATTAAACAATTTCTAGGGCCCTTGATCCCTAATTTTAGGGGCCAGCCCCTTTTTAATGATATCAAATAAAAGCGCTTGTAATTATGCACAACTTTTATTCAACATGTCTTAACAAAATATTTTTAGTTTTCAAGATAAAAAGGAAAATATCTGTAAATTTTCGCTCTTTTAGGCGTTCTAATTTTTGACCCCTATATAGCGCCATTTTGAATGCAGAAATCGAAAAACAAAAACCGATGTGCACAACTTCAATCCTTCTGTTATCTAAAACAAGTAAAATTTCTGCTCCAGCTTTTGTGGTCTCTGAGCCTTTATCCGGAAACGAAAGCCTATGATTTTTCATTTAAAGGGGAATAACTCAAAACCGGAAGTGACTTTTTGAAATTTTAATCAACATTCTGATAGAGTTTATAAACTTCTATAATCTCTGAAAATTTGAGCGAAATCCGTTGAGAAATGAGTGAGATATGAGGCCTCAAATTTGGCGTCTAGGAAGTAGAAAAAAAAAAAGAATAATAATCTTTACCAACAGAATCAGTAGAAGGTCTTCCGTTGGAAACGGAAGACCTTAATTATCAAAATTATCAAAGATTTAAGAGAGAAAAAATGGGGTGACGGAGCAGGGTCAAAATTGACCTATTTTCTAACTAAACACTTTATAATGTCTACAGTCATACCTCTAATAAATGGCTCTTAAAGAAATAAAATTGAAATATTTTAATTTAGAATTGTTTAATTACTTCGGACGCTAAAATTTAATGTAATACATCGCTTCGTTTAAAAGATATCAATCTTCAAAGGCAGATAGACTTCATGAGAAAAAGCAAAAAACGATGACGTCGAATGACGTCACGGAGCAGCGATTAGTGAAAAAAAGTCAAAAGGAACCTTGAAATGCTTGATAATTCGGGAAATTGATACAAAATTATGCATTTGTTTATAATGGGAATGACTATTTTTTGAGTGTTAGACTTGGAATCGGACCATGAACGGTCTGCAAAGAAACAAATGCAAAAAATCTTTTCAAAGAGTTAGTAACGTCATAAAATGTGATGTGCTATTCACTTTCGCGGAACTTGTGCAAACAAGACTTACGCAACAAAGAATTCGAAAGCATTGTCAATTTAACTTAAGGTACTCAAACAATTGCTAGTGAACTAGGTGATTCATGTATTCAGAAAAAGCAACACATCGTGGATGAAATGAAAAGGCAGAGTAATTTTAAGAAAATTTTTCAACGTTGGTTTTCACGCCAAAGTGTTGCTATCCGTTCTCCGTGGTGACAAAACATGTTACCTTTAAAATTGTCAAACACGAGTTCCATTAAATCAAATAAAATGAAACTTTACACACAAACGAAATAAATGTTTTTACATATGAAAATGTGTTAATCTAAAAAACTTTGTAAGAATAATATGATAATGGAGGATATTGTCTACGTATTTTTTGTATGACCATCGTATAAACAACTTAGCAAGTCAATTAAAATACATGAACATGTTTGATGTCATATGATGATAATGATAATCACAATAAAATAGCTATAATAAAACATATAAAAGATGAGATAAAAAAGTTAATATTTTCATGTCAGTTTAATTTAACACATAATATATATATATATGTCCTAGCAGTGCAGGAACAGCGCGCTAGACCGCTCGGATATCTAGGCAAGCCAAAAAACTTGCTTTCGATGCCGATGGAATTCTAGCGGCGCTACCCTACACTAAACGGTCATTGAGAATAGAAGTGAGATACAGTTATTTGGACATCAGTTTTAACAGAGGATTGTTACCAATACATATTGTAATGAAATTAATTATTATTTAAAAAGCACAATTTACAACAACTCTTAAACTAACATAACTGCCCTAGATGAAGAAATATTAATATAGAAAGCACAAAGAAATTCACTTTTACATATAATACCCACTTCGCCCCAGCCCGGGATTGAACTCTCGACCTTCGGAATCTGTCTCCTTGCAGTGCATGAACAGCGCGCTAGACCGCTTGGCTATCTAGGCAAGTCAAAATACCAAAAACAACATCAACAAAAGAAGTAAATATATATCATGATACACAAGAAAAGCTTTCAAACACAGCGTTTAGAAAAACACCTTTATATTTTAAAAGTTTTATGAAAATCATATCTTGGGCATTAAATTTGTTTTCGTCCCTTTTGTGTATGAATTATACGTTCTGCTGACTATAATCTTTATGAACGGCGGTATATTCGTATAGAAGTGTATTTGCCAACATATACATTCCGTTGTCGGTTTGAGCACAGGTTTCATCAGGCCTAGAGTATTCTGTATTACGATGTAAGTGAGGATTGTATGTGTGCTCTGTATGTTCAGCTATTACAGTGTCGACGTAGTGAGCGTTTTGACTGATGTGTCTGGTGAAGAATTTTCGGTTTGCTATGGATAAAATGATGAAAGCGATGATGATAAGAATAATTCCAGTAACTGTTACCGCAATGATGGTGTTGACTCTGTCTTTGGGTTCTTTGATATCTTGAGGATCTATTAAGAACGTTTTGAATAATTAACTACGTTTGACAATACATATTCTAGCTTGTAATGCATTTTATATTTAAAATGAAATTATCAGAGTTAGATATTTTAGAGAAATGTGTTTTGACACACTCACCTTCGATGCATCCAAAAATGTGATTGCAATACTCTTCTCTACACGGGCATTGATCCTGGCATTCATTACCGTAGTTAGGGTATCGACACAGTTTAGAGCAGTTTGATGCAAAATATCCTGGCAGACATTCTAAAAGTCAGATAAAAACAAAATGCTTCTCTACTATTTTTACTATCGTTTGATATTTAATTAATTCTATTGTTACAACATCTTCTAATATAAAAAAGTAAGTTTTGTACTAGAACAATAAATTATTTGATATTTTTTTAATCAGTGAACCTCGCAAGTATTTGCTTTGCACATGCAGTTTTTCTTTATTTTCAAAATTCAACCATACCTGTGCAGTTTCCTGTTTTCTTGTTATAAAATCTATCATCAGGACATATCATCTGTGAGTTTCTGGCCAAAACATCCGCAAAGTAATTAGTTACAAATAGAAATATGAAGACCTTCATTACTTATGGAGCAAATGCGTTACTTACGCAATGAAGGAATATTTGTAGAGATAAAAGAATGACAGTAATAAATGTCCAGTTTTTCGTACTAACACCAAAGCGTTGAAACTCGATATTCCAGATCTATTTGCTGCATTTAACAAGCACTTGTATATCAGAACCACTCGAAATTTAACTTATATACATGTCGAACTAAACTAGATTGTTCCTAATATGTTGGCATCAGGCAGTCATTGATTGCACTAACTTAGAGTGTGTTATATGGATATATGCTTTTTAAAGCAATTGCCTGATACTTGAGCGAGTTTTTCCTCTAAAAGTTTAGAATTGCTTAGAAGGGGTACTGTTTCATTAATTCTGCAACGAGAGACGACTGCTCTTCCTTAGTTTCTATGTGTTTGAAGAACTATAAGGACATAATCTCAGAGTTATTATTTTCTTCCTTTAACAATGCAGTTACAGAGTTTCCTCGTTGCAAATATGTATATTCTACATATGTTCGAATACTCCCTGTTAATTACTGTAAATAATAACGATATATAATTAATTATTGCAACAAGATTTATATATTAAGGATGTATTCTTCTGATAAAAAAACGTGCATTAAACTTTCTACATGCTTATATTTTTCTGAAAGTGCAATATCCAAGGAATAATTTAAAGACAAGAAAAGTGTATGTTAGTGTTCATCTAAGAGAGATTCAACCCCTCGAACATAGGCCAAAATAGAGCATGGGAAATTTCATTTAAATAAAAGCTATTAGACCATAAAATACCTCAAAAACTTATAAATACAATCAATTTAAATTTAATTTGGCTTAACTTTATTTGAAAGTATTGCGAAGTTAATTTTTAAAGCAAGATATGAGCAAATAAACACCAATAAACATCAATTAGTTAATTTGTACCCAAAAATGCTGTTCACCGGTGTCAAAAATAGGCAAATTTTCTGCTATAAAATAGCTTGAAAACCCATAAAAAACATATTTCTACAGAAAATTGTAGTACAGTTTCTTTAGGTATTATGGTTCATTTTCATAGCATGAAAAGTAGGGGTTAGTGTACATATAAGAAAATTTTAATATTTTTTATATCACCACACCCTATTTCTTTTTCATCGTTTAATGAAAATGAATCAAGGCATTTAGGCTTCAAAGTATGTGATTTATTCACCAAATATTCAAAATAAGTGTGATAATATCAGGTTAAAATTGTAAATATGTTAAGAAAAGCTTTTTTTGAACAAAAAGTAATCATTTAACAAATGAATACCTCATAATAGTTTGTTGGATATCCTCTCTTTCTCTTGGCCTGCGAGTTCCGGATTGGGTCCTGGTGTGTGGTGTTGGATGGTAGCTTCCATGGGATCTTTTATATCCAGTCCCTCTTTCTCAATCTAATTTGCATGGTTTTCTCCATCTGATTTTAGTGGTTCTTAAACCCTGCTCTCTTTTAAGTTCTTTATTTGTGATTCTTGTGAAAACAAGACTTACCTGTAAAAAATTATTTCATTTAGAAAAAAATATTTTATAATTTACTGGCAATATCATTGTTCAAAAAAGGTAAAATCATTATTTTGTCTATCTGACTTTGTTTTAGAACCTAAAACTGTAGTTTAAACTCAAATAATTTCTACATTTTCTTTGATGTTTCAGAAATATTTTTTAACCATAGGCCGCCATAGAATGAAGCGACCTAGTTTCTTACCGAATGATTATAGATGTTATCTCATTTTTTTTCTCTTACGGTATGTCTATAAATTTGGGATAGATATTCTGCATTTACAATATAAAAAGGAAATTTATCATATACTACGAGCTAAAGTTGCAATAAAAAGATAATACGAATGCTGTCGTCTACACGCATCTGAAGACCTCTTAGGCCTAACGTTATGTAACATGTTTATGCCATGTTTCAGTTTGCGATGTAACAGTATACTATGTATTTTGAAACCTTTGTATCTATAATGCATAAACATTGCTATTTTTAATAATTTTGAAAGCACTGGAAACCTACATTTTCGCTTATCCACTGCCACTGGAACGTCGTCAACACAGTTCGGCGTTCCTGGCTGGCATGTTCGGGAACCGCTTTCGAGAATGTACCTGTAGGCCTAATCGTGATATCGACAATTTTTTCAATGTTTTAAAATTTCTGTCGGTTGGCTCTTTAAACGGAGTGTCATTCGGCATTTCTGTCGCTTTGAAGGGGAGATCCCGTCTTCTTCCCCTCTCGATCATGTCGATTTCACTTGTCGACTTTCTTAAGCCTATGTCGTAAATATCATAATGTTGCACACGTCTTAGTCATTAATACAACATAGAAAGATTTTTTATTTAAAAATAAATATAGTTAAACATATGAATCATAAAAACTTTAAAACTTGTTGGTAAATCTTTATCAGTTTGAATTTTACGACATATTTATATATTATAAGGATTAAAATTATTTTATCTTGAAAAAATTAATGCAAATGATAAAATATATTATGAATTTTGTTCCAAAATTTCATTTATCCCAAAAATATCCTGTTATTCTTGATATCAAATTTCAAACCAATGCTCTGTGAAATTTATTCAATTAAGCCAAGATCATCTCAAAATCACAGTTCATTTAGTTGACATTATTTAATAAATACATTTTAGCTGACGTAATCTTTATCCCTTGATAGACCTATCTGATTTTTTTAAAATTATCTATTTTTACTCAATTTGACTACAAAACGGTCCGACTAATTGATGTCAGAGAGACTTTTAACTTTACAAGTCTGTTAAGAGGGCATAAGCACGGACTCCTGGGTATTCCAGAGATGGGATCAGGCCCCAGGATCATGAAACATCTTAAGCTGATCCTGGGGCCAGGTGCCTATCTACCGAATTTATACTTTTATAACCTAGTATCAAATGCACTTTTTGGAAAAATCTCAGATAGGCAAGCTTGTACTCTGTTTTACGAAAAGAAAACTATCTCAAATATGACGAAATCCCACCAGAATGAAGATATAGGAAAAATGGCCTTCATCTGGACCCTTTAGTGGTTTTCATGTAAGATTTGAATCCAAATTACTGCAGGTTTTAAAGGAAGCATATTTTAAGATCTTAACTACAAACTGTCACAATTTTACTATTGTTCTGATTTTTCCATCAAATAAGGGGTTAGATTCCGTTGTTACTCTACCTTTTCCTTTTTTTCAAAGATGCAAATGGAAGTCTTTTCTATTTCTTACTTTTTCTCTGCTGTAAACTTCACAGAATTACATAATATATCTTTACAATCGTTTTATAAAAGTGATGCGTTTCTTACGGAAAAACTAAATAAATTTTGAATTGGGTTAAGAATCGTTTGAGGTATTCTTTTAAAATTGTTGAACTTGTATCAAGTAAAGATACTTTCATATATATATAAATACGACTTGTGTTGACACGATATCAGGAAACAAACACTAACAACAATTCACACCTTCTCCAAAAATAAAACATGAATCAACTTAACAGTTTTCCTGATCTACAAAATGTCAAAAATATCTGATATATCATGGTTTGAACACCTGTATCTGCATATATATTGTACACGTTTGGAATCAAATCAATCAGATGATCTTAATTGCTCATTTTTTCATCGGTGTAATCATTTTAGAGTGTTCTGAAATCATTCAAAAGTATATAGATATATGCTAGACTTATTATTCATCACGTCATGAAATCATCTGTACGCTAAAACAGCAAAGTGTTTAAAGTAACATATTTAATTCTTGTTGCATCGACATTATAAGCTTTTTCTCACTACAATTACATAATATACAGCCATGTCTCCTATATGCAAAGCGACATAGGTCTGTTAATTTACCCCAGTTTTTGATCCCCAGTTAAGGATTTATTGTACTAAAAAGAAAAAAAAGGATTGTTATTTATATAGAGGAAAATAAAACAAACGTGATTTTATACACGTTTATTTTGATATTGGCGTTTGTTGGTCGTGGCATATTTAAAGCAGTAGGGGGTCGCCAAGCGTAAATGAGCGACCCCAAATAACAACAAGCAGCAGCAGCAGCAGCAGCAGCAAGCAACATGAAAGCATAATATCACATGTACATATAATAAGCATAATAATGGCCGTTCCGGGTATACCACGAACGGTAATTAACCTTGCAATTTAATTTTATGTACATGTATTTTAAATAAACTTTACAAGTTTACATGTATGTTGTAGTTATTGTTCCGGGTTATCAAACCGCGAACGTTACATAGGATATTTTAGCAAGCAAAGCACTGTGCATGAAATTTGTTGAAAGCAGTACACATTTTGCACAGCAACTGAGTTTGTTTCAAGGAGGCAAAGCAGACCAATTCATGAATTTGTTGAAAGCAGCACACATTTTCACAGTAAATGAGATTGTTTTAAGCAGCAGCAGCACAATGAATTATAGCATCAGTTGAATGGCTCGGCGCAAACTGAATCTTGGGACGACAAGGGGAAAAACCAATAGTAATCCTATGGAATGTCATCAAGGACTCTTCAAGCGAGGCTAAATCAAAATTACAGCATACACGGTCAGGCCCATGGTATGCCACGACGAAAATCTTCCAAGTGAAGTCAATACTCAAGTCAAACCAGAAATGATAGAGAAAACCCCAACAGCAGACAAAAACTTCTTAAAATTGTTTAATGTTAAGATGCAGATTCTACCATTACTCTTCAATATGGGGCGGGATGGGATGGGATTTTAGAAACAATCGTGATTGAAAGCATATTTTTTAAAAGTTCTGTCTGCTACAAAATTCGTGTACCTTTCGTTTTTGGATCAAGGGCAAAGAGGGAGAATTTGAGATATCCCGATCCCGATCTAATTTATATTCTAGCTAACTCAACTCAAATAGCAGCAACAAAGTTTTCCTCATAAAATAAGTGCATCTATTCTTTAAATTAATAGATGCTATTATTTATATAGAGGAAAATAAAACAAACATGATTTTATACACGTTTATTTTGATATTGGCGTTTGT